CCCCCCCCCCCCCGCCAAAAGCGTTTATCAGATGCTTGTAGATTGCAAAATGCTGTCTTAAAAAGCTACAGGACATGTATAGAGGTAATAAGAGCTCTTGGTCTCATTGAACTATTGGGAAATAGAAGTATGGAAATGACTGTTCTATGGAGCAAAGGTTAGACAATAAAACAGGGTATTTATAACACTTGCCCCTTGATTTATATTTGCTATATGTTTAAAATCATAAATTATTACATTTTTCTGGATATTGTATTCTCTGAGCAAAGCTGGCCTTTAAGTTCATAGGCCGTTTCTCTGAACCTCTAGTAACATAAAAGCGTTGACCAACCTTGCAGGACATTCAGTTACTGTGACCTTCACGCACTCTGTTTCTTAACCTCAACCCCATTCTCAGGCCTGATTTTCTTCTTTTCAACAGAGGCCTGATTTCCTTTCCCATGGTGACTGCCACCACTCCACATCCCTTGAGAGTCATTACTCACCATCCCCCCTTCCAGTGGCCCATAAGCTTGATCATCCCCAGATATTGAGGTTGAGTAGACCTGGGCTGGGTCAGGGACTAGACATCCATGTGTTAGCTAATGGACTCCTAAAGGACCTCCATTCCAAGGTGTGAGAATCAGCACTCTACCTAGTAATTTCACTCTGAGGAAAATATAGAGGGCGTTTTGTCTCTTCTCCTGTAGCAAGGAAAATGGTTACCAGCAACTATTTTAGAGTCAGTTCACATAAAGTAAATGAAGGACTAACCTAGCTACGGTACTTTCTCAGCAAAGGAATCAAATACTACCGTGTTTCCCCCAAAATAAGACCTATCCAAAAAAATAAGCCCTAGCACGCTTTCTGTGCATTTGTTAAATATAAGCCTTACGTTGATAATAAGACCTAGTGATGGGTGTGGCTATGCAGATAAGCTGCATAGCCATGCCGTGCATTTCAGCATGAAGAGGAAGACATCCCATGAAAATAAGCCCTAGTGTGTCTTCTTGAGAAAAAATAAATATAAGACAATGTCTTGTTTTCAGGGAAACACGGTATAGGCAAGGAAAGAAGGCAGGCAGGCAGACCAAGAACCAAGAAACTTTTCAAAATCTCTAAAATATAGCCTTTTTTTTATTCTCTGTTTCTTAACCCGTTACTTATAAAACTTAAGGAGGAAGAAAACTTAATGTGACAAAGTGGTCTGGAAAATAATATAATAATAAAGAAATATGAAAGCATAAGTTCAGGGCGGCGCCTATGGCTCAAAGGAGTAGGGCGTCAGCCCCATATGCCAGAGGTGGTGGGTTCAAACCCAGCCCTGGCCAAAAACTGCAAAATAATAATAATAATAATAAAATAAAAGTAGTCAGGTGTTGTGGTGGTGCCTGTAATTTAAAAAAAAAAAAAAAGAAAGCATAAGTTCATAGTACTGAAAAGAATGTAATAGAAACCAGTTAGCTAATAAAATTCAGCAATCTCACAAATAAATTCTGGAATATTGGGCTGGGCCCACTGGCTCGTGCCTGTAATCCTAGCATTCTGGAAGGCCAGTGCGGGTAGATTGCCTGAGCTCATGAGCTTAAGGCCAGTCTGAGCAAGAGTAAGACCTCATCTCTAAAACTAGCTGGGCATTGACTCGGTGCACGTAGCTCAGTGGCTGAGGCCCCAGCCACATACACGAGAGCTGGCAGGTTCGAATTCAGCCTGGGCCTGCCGAACAACAATGACAACTACAACTAAAAAATAGCCGGATGTTGTGGTGGGTGCCTGCAGTCCCAGCTACTTGAGAGGCAAAGGCAAGAGAATTGCTTAAGCCCAAGAGTTTGAGGTTGCTGTGAGCTCTGATGCCACAGCACTCTACCCAGGGTGACAGCTTAAGACTGTCTCAAAAAAATAAAAAATGAAAAGAATAAAAATAGTTGGGTGTGGGCTGTGCCTGTGACTCAGTGGGTAGGGCGCCGGCCCCATATACCAAGGGTGGTGGGTTCAAACCCGGTCCCAGTCGAACTGCAACAAAAAAATAGCTGGGTGTTGTGACGGGTACCTGTAGTCCCAGCTACTTGGGAGGCTGAAGCAAGAGAATCGCCTAAGCCCAAGAGCTGGCAGTTGCTGTGAGCTGTGTGATGCCATGGCACTCTACCGAGGGTGATAAAGTGAAGCTCAGTCTCTAAAAAAAAAAAAAAAAAAATAGCTGGGTGTTGTGGTGGGCACCTGTAGTTCCAGCTACTTGAGAGGCTAAGGCAAGAGAATCACTTGAGCCCAACAGTTTTAGGTTGCTGTGAGTTGTGATAAGAGGGCTCTCTTTCAGCCATGACAAAGTAAGACTGTCTCAAAAACACAAAGGCTCCTAAAGGAGATAAAACAGACTGCATGTAAAATAATAAGAATTTGACTGGTATTGGGATTTTCTACTGCAACATTTAATGCTAGATTACGGAGGTATAAATCCAAAAGTTTAAGGAAAAATTGCTTTCAGCCTAGAATTCTGCATCCAGCCAAACAAGTGTGTCATTTCTTGGCAGTCTGCGTGCTAGCAAAAATACAGAAGCAAATGAAGAAAATAAGATCTTGGGTTCAGGAAATAAGAGGTTCACAAAAGCAATGAGAATTACTCTGACTCCCAGTAACATTTGTACAGCAGGCCTGCATAGCGGGCAGTCCAAATGGCAGGAGAGAGGGAGATGTCTGGAGAAAGAAAATAATTCATACATTAGATCATTTAAGACAGAAAAATATAAGGCTATGATTATGGCAAAGAACGTAAGGGATAAAAGTGAAAGGCAATTAGAAACTGCACAAAAACAGAAGTTGTATAAGAAAACCTTCTTAGTAGAATACTAAGTGATGCAAAGAAAAATATTTATATGGTCATAATAGTGATTTTGGAAGCGATCTATAGATAGAACATTATAGACTTTTTTTTTTTTAAGTCAGAGTCTCACTTTGTCACCCTTGTTAAAGTGTTGTGGTGTCACAGCTCACAGCAACCACAAACTCTTGGGCTCAAGCAATTCTCTTGCCTCAGCCTCCCAAGTAGCAGGGACTACAGATACCCACCACAACACCCGGCTATTTTTAGAGACAGGGTCTCACTCTGGCTCAGGCTGGTCTCGAACCTGTGAGCTCAGGCAGTCTACCTGCCTCGGCCTCCCAAATGCTGGGATTACAGGCGTGAGCCACTGTGCCCAGCCCAAAACACTATAGATTTTAATTAAAGGGAAAGAAAACTCAAAGGAAGAGGTGGGAAAATGATTAAGTGAGTGTAGTTCTCATTTCTCATAGCAGAGTTTAAACAAATTAAGTTGGCCAGGCACAATGGCTCACACCTGGAATCCCAATATCCTAGAAGGCCAAAATGTGTGGATTACTTGAGCTCAGGAGTTCAAGGCCAGCCTGTATAAGATCGAGACCCTGTTTCTACTAAAACTAAAATAACTAGCCTGGTGTAGTGGTAGACACATGTAGTCCCAGCTACTCAAGAGGCTAAGGCAAGAGGATTGTTCAAGCCCAAGAGTTTGAGGTTGCTGTGAGCTATGACACCATGGTACTCTACCCAGGGCACAGAATGAGATTCTGTCTCAAAAAGTGAACAAAGAATAATGTTGTTATAAAAAGAAATAGCAGAGTATGAAATCTTAACTACCCAAAGAACTAAAAAGTCAAAAGTGATTGATCCTAAGGAGCCTGGACTTGAGATTGAATACTGGTGGGACAGAGGAGCCCAGCTCTCATTACGGCCCCTCTGTGCCTTTTGATTTGTACGTCCTGCAATAATTTCTATAATTGCTTTTTTAAATTGGGAAGGCCTTTGGCAGTAACTTCAAGGTAGAAGCCAGGCTGCCAGGCTTGCAGGCAGAAGCTGAAGCATGAGTGGTAGCAGCTGCTGATGGAGGCGAGGAAAAGGCCTGGTTGAGCCTGTGGCAGAACAAAGGAACTTGGGGAAGGAGAGAAGGAGGCATAGGCTGGGCCTGGGCAGTAAAGGGGCCACTTAGGCTATCTTCTCACCTGGTTATTTATGTGGTTTTTTATATACTCAAGTTTACATAATTTTCATTAAGGAACCTGGGAGCTGAATTGAGAAGTTTCTCAGTTCTACGTAAATAAATAATTTGCAGTGTCAAGAGTTGTGTGTCATGGCACTTCACTGTTGCCTTGTAGGGAATTTCTCTTGATTTCTGTTTTTAAGGCAGAATGAAACAAGTAAGTCACCAGCCATTGAAACTTGGTTTATTTATGGATTTCCAGTGTTTCTTTTGCCATATTTCCCCATTTTTAATTTATGATCTTCAGCATTGTCTGCTCATTATTTTCATTACTATACTTTGTTATAATTCATCATTTATACCATCCATATTCTTTCTTTTCTTACAGATTGTGATATCTTTAGTCTGAATTTTTAACTGGAATCAGAACTGGATGTTGGGGTCACTCTTTGTTTTATTGTACCACGTGATTACCTAATTCAAAATTGCCCCCCCAAAGTTCAGATTAGTTAATATAATTTTTTAATGTTAAAAAAAGATGTATAGTGGTAAACCATTTATTCTAGCAGCCATGTTGAACAATGTATTTAAAAATTGTAAACTCTTGGAATACTGTATTTATCTGCTATTGCAATATAAAGTATTTTTACTTAGTCCTGGTAACTGTAAAATAATTTGGTTTACTAACAGAAGTTGTGAATAAAACTGTGAAACTAGAAGGGAGACTTTCTGGACTTTAATAGAAAAATGTGATTTTAATATTGCTACTTCTCCTCTTTTAACATAATTTTTTCCCTTCATATTCCCCAAATCATTGTAAATAAACATGTGCACACACACACACACACACACACACACACACACACCCCTTTTACCACAATGGTAATGCTTCTGTAAATGTCTCTATTTGTCCTATTGGCTGAAAATGTTGTAATCTTTATTAGACAAATATATATATTTTTTTAAATATTGGCTTTTTCCAGTGAGTTATCATGTGTAGTGTACAGTGAAACGTTTTAATATTATAGGTTAAAAATTTCTTAATTGTTTCCTTATATTTGCTTGCCAAGGGTGAATGAAAGAACATGGCTGCTTCTCCCAGACTGACTGGCCTTGGCATCCACATAAAGCATCATTGTTTTCAAAATGAAGGGTGCTTAATTGTTCCCTTTTCTCTATATTCTGTAGGTCTCATAACAACAAACTGCAGTCTACAGCTTCTTAAAGTTCAGCGTGTTACCCTAACATAAAACACAGCAAGAATCTGGTTGTCTGAACTATTTTAAATTAAGGAGCCAGATGTTTTTAGTCAGGCTATCCTGACAAGACCTAAACTTCGTTTTTATTGGTCATAACAGTCCAATTATATTCTTGGCCAATTTTGTCCAACGGACAAGAGAAAAGCAAAGTCAACGACACCATTATCTTGTCAAGATCAAATGGTTTTATTATTGTGGCAGAAGCGGGAAAACTTTGTTTATTGAAAAAAAAAAAAAAGAAAAAGAAAGCAAGAAAAAAAGATACTATGGGGTCAAGTGTAACTCCATGGAAATGCCACGTCTGCTCTTCAGTGAAGAAGCTGGTTTAGAGTCTCACAGAAAACTTTGACTGTATTTATTTATTGTTGCAAAAAAGACGCTTTTTTATTGCTGCCCTCATTTGTCAGCTAATTATTTTTTCTTATAAAATCCAGCCCTGGTTACACGTAATCCATCCTGTATCTTATCATGATTCCTGTAGGTAAAAGTACAAGACGACCTCTAGATGTCTTTTCTTTCTATGAAAGGAGCTGCTATGTACACATGTGCACACACACACACACAACTGGGAATCAACAATGAGTTTATTGTTCATGGTAGATAAAAATTAAGCTTGCATAAAGGTTGGGCTAAGTGGTCCTGGACTACAGACTCTGTTGCCTTGAATATAACAAGTACAATTTGTCAATTACTCTGCACCAGGCTAAAATGAGTAAAATCTATTTGAAGGTATCTTGTTTGTAAACATTTGTCAGATTCTAATTTTTCCTTTTTGTATTAAAATTCAACTATGGATGTATATGAAACAAAATAAATGGAGATAATTTTTTCTCCCACAGATGGAGGTGTCTTTGAATGTGCGCTGATGATTATCTGTTAGCTTTTCTGGGGAGGGGGAGCTGCAGGGCTCAGAGGAATCTAAGGGTACCTGGGTTTCTCCGGGTGGCCCTCAGTTTTATAATTCCCAGTCATTCCCATCATTCATTGTCATCACATCAGAGAACAATCTTCAGGGGTGCTAATCCTTTTGCATCAATTGATCGTACTAAGTAAAAAGATAAGGTGACAAAACACACATTGCCATCACCCGTACCTACACGGACGTGACCAGGCAAATCACCAGTTACAGACAACTGTTATTTTATGAAGTTTTTTGGATGACCTCATCCTCTTTGTATTTTGTTGTTTGTTGGTTAGGTTTGTTTGTTTCGTCCATATAAGGAAAAGTAGTTTCAACAAGTAGGAAGAAAATGGAAATAACGGAGGAAAGTATAGTTTGCATGTTTTTTCTTTCAGTGTTCTTACACATTGTATTACTGCATTGTAATAATAGCGTCTATAAAATCTGCCATTGTTCAATTACGACGCAGCTTTGCAAAAATTTTACTAGATTTTGCACTAATTCATACTAGCTTTGGCCTACCAAGTTCTGGAATTTATCTGATTATTTGTTTTTTTAAAGTTTCCTTCTGTTTAATGTCGCCCTGCTATGCAAAACCTTTCCCAGACCTTAGTTTCTTAAAAGATGTTACTACAGATCCCGCTTCTTTCTTATTCCAGGCTCAGGTGTGCAGGTTATTCTGGGTTAGTTCTATCTGAGGAAGCCCACTCGTTTTTTGTACATAAAGATGGCACTTAAACCTAATGCTTACAAACTAAAGAGACTAATTCCTCAACATGAAAACATGGAAACGAAGTTTTTGCTTAACCTACTAAGATGGAAGTAGCTAAATAGAGGCTATTTTGTCCTTTTAAAACAATGTTACATATTGTATGCACTGTGCCGATGCAAGAATCTTACATTTTAATGAATTATAAAATTATTCTGCATCTCATCATGTCACAGTATATCTGTACTATTTATTCACATATATAAAACTATATATGAGCTTAATCATTTAAAACTTGTTGCAGCAAGAACTTTCCTATCTGTAGGCAATAGATTGCTATGTTTTTAACAAATTGTGGCAAATTCTAAACAACACTTCTTTTGTACGTAATAGGACATTTCATCCTAGAAAAATAAAGTAATGTTTTTGACATTGGATTTGGTGCAGTTTCTAATGAAACAATGGCTGGTTGGTTGATACATTTTCTGTAACTGTTGGCATTGCCAGATTGTACCAAAAAAAGGGTAAACTTTATGGATATCCTGAGACCAGGAAGATGTTAATTTCATATGCGTATTTAATGGTATAAAGGATTTTACAATTTCTATCACCATATAAATAAAGACATTTTATAGTTTTCTCAACTACAGAGCTTTAGTCTTTCAGAAGTGATTTTTGGAAAACATACATTCTTGTAAGTCATAATGAGTTCCAAAAGCTGCTTTTCTATGAGTATTCTTTGACAAGCCTCTGCTAGTCAGTGAGATATACATACTACAGCTGCTTGGCTTTCAATAATCCAAGGAGTATAGTGCACATTTTGTGGTACTGTTAGGGTGTTTCTGCCCCACGCTTTGGACCTGTAAATACATTTAACTCGCATCAGTCAATTTCCTCGGCTAACAGTGTTTTCAGAGCTTGTTAGGCTTCAATCTGCCTAGTTCACAGTCCTTGAAACCATTTCAGAAGAAGTATTTTCGTAATATTGGTAAGGCTTTCTTCTCCTATCCATATTCTGCAGGATTTGTATTTAGTTAATACCTTGCAGTAGCTTTTTAAAAATTGTGAATTTTCATAGGTATTTTCTGAAGCACAGCCCTTAATTACCTTTTTCTATTTCAAGTGGCCTAGAATGTTATTTAGTGAGACTGAGATTTGCTGCTGTTTGTAATCTGCCTTCGTAGAATCCGCGAATCAAAGTTCTTTCCTTTTCCTGCTCATTTCTATTAGGCCAACTCCCTGCTGCTCTGTGTGTTTTGGGTGGCTTTTCACAGCTCTGCACGCTGACAGAGTGACATGGTTATTACAGCATTCACTCTTTTCACAGTCAGAATTGAGACTATTACCATCAGTCTCGGGTTTCTTGTCCTGAAAATGAGAATGATGCCATCTTGTGGATTGAGCAGCGGCTTAGAAATACTTGGGAGGCGAGCATAGCCAGCTGAAAAGTAGTTTTGATAATTTTGAAACATGCTGAGGTATGCCTGATACACCAAAAATTCTCTTCATAGAAGATCATACTGCTTTATCCATTTGGACCAAATTTGACTGAAGAAATAAGCTACATTTTAAAAATGACAAAGTCCTGCTCTCATTGTGTGGTTGCTTACTCAAATATGTCCTAATGTGGAGTTATGACTGTAGGCAGCAGGTCCGTTTTTAAATGTTTGCATCCAAATGTGCCTCTTCAACCTTAGAAAAGATTTCAAGAGAAATATAAACAATGCCAAATGATTTCTTTAAAAGGTAGTTGTAAAAAGCTAGTACCACCCCACCAAAAAAATTTAAAGACCTTTCCCTACCAAAAGAAAAACAAGTACTTTTTCCCCTTGAATCTATAGTAACAGCTTAATTGGAAGGAGGGATGCTATTGATGAGGGGCTATCACGTGTGCACATGCGCACAAAGGGCCCTTAGGCTCTGGCACACAAACCCATTTGCTAAGAAAAATCTGTTAATAGGACAAAGGGATTAGAAACTATGATGAAGTCACTCCTTAATTTTTTTTTTTTTCTGAGAGTTGCAATGGGATCATTAAAATTTTCTGTAAAATTAAAGATTGTACCCACGGTACTGACTGGATATTGACAGGTGTTTCTTCTTGACCTTGTTTGCCTAACCGGGCATTACCATTACTGCCTGCCTCCTGGCACGTCCCTATACCCACAGCTGCTTGAGCCCCACTAGTCTTCCCTTACAGAAGTGGTCTTGAAAGAAAGCCTTAACTTTTATCCAGGAAGTTTCTAAGAAACCAGCTTGCGTGTGTTTGCCAGGGTGTACATGTTAACCGTCGGACACCCCTCCCCCAGTATCACACATATTACAAGGCTCTGGCATTTTTTGTGTTTCTAGAACATCCCAGAAACTGAGTATTTCACATCAAGCTAAGTCCAATCCTAACCTTTGGTGTATGTAAAAGTGATTTTTTTTGTTTTTTTTGGAGACAGTCTCTCTATGTTGCCCTCGGTACAGTGCTGTGGCATCGCAGCTCACAGCAAGCTCAAACTCTTAGGCTTAAGCCAGCAGTTCTCAACCTGTGAGTTGTGACCCCTTTGTAACAATGAAAATACATCCTGCACATCAGATATTTACATTACCGTTCGTAACAGTAGCAAAATTACAGTTATGAAGTAGCAACGAAAGTAATTTTATGGTTGAGGGTCACCACTACATGAGGAACTGTATGAAAGGGTCGCGGCATTAGGAGGCATTAGGAAGGTTGAGAACCACTGGCTTAAGCAATTGTCTTGCCTCAGCCTCCCAAGTAGCTGGGTCTACAGGTGCCTGCCACACCTAAAGTGATTAAATCATAAAAGTGATTTCTTTTTCTCTTAAGCCACAGCTATTTACAACTTTAACTTCTGAGCATCCAACCTATGATTTATCTGGCCATTTTGTAATTTTTCCCATCATGCCACTCAAGATTGCTGCCTAGCTAGCCTTTTGACATTTAAAAATTTGACTTTGGCTTTTTTGACTGGCACTATTTTATGCCTGTGTTCATGTTTTTGCCAGAGACAATTTTATCTGAAAACTAACTCAAAAGCTCTTCATTAGCTGCATACTCTGTTGCCAATAGTTCGTGTAGTAATGCAGTTGACTCCCCAAAAGGCAATTCTAGTAAAATTTTTAGTAAGTTTGGACAAGACTCATTTTTGGAAAATTCCCTGAAAATCCCTCAGTAATACTGAACAAGAACCTCTCAACTTTCTTTTACGTCTGTTTCCCAGGTTTAGAACAAATAACATAACAATCAGACATTATAATGTCTCGTGCTGCTTGTGTGCCATGAATTTCTTGGTGTCCCGTCTTGAATGTCTTTTAGGTGTTTATTGCTACTGTGTGCCATTACAGAATAAAGCTCATCACCTGGAGATGGGCTGTTTTACTCTTTCTAGTGCGATTCCTTTCTTGAGGCAGTAGTCTCCATCCATGCCTCACCGGTGTCTCTATTCACTGTGGCCAAATTAACTGGTACAGCCTGATCTGGGGGCGGGGGCACTGATGTCTTTCAAGACTCAAGTATAAAATCAGTATTAAATTTAGCTAGTGATTAAACCTTCAGCTACCAAATGGGAAAAGTTTACAAATCACTTGTAAGCTGTCATTGATGAATATTGGTGTCAGGGTATTTGGAGTAAGTTTGAGAAAGGTGTTTTCTCAAACCTTGGAGGCTCATTTAGGTTAAACCAAAAACAAAACAGGTGCATCCAAGATCTGATTTCAAGGCAAGATTTACTGCTTTACAAACACAAACATGACACAGGATACTTGGTCTCAATAGAAAAATGACATCAGATACATCCAGAATCCGTAGAGCACTGGGATAATTGCCAGTTCGGCACAAAACAGAAGTTACTAACGGAGCAGGGAGGCATGAGAATAATCATTGCTTTATCATACATTTTGGTACATCAGGAACTCTTTTGCTTGAATTAAGGTCTTAAGTATTCTTTAAATGTAAAATGTTAACACTTGTCCTGGGCTCTGACCCTAGTGTTGGATCTAAATGACATTTCTTACGTGAATGGCTTTTGACTAGCGCACTTACTGTTCTGTACAGAATTTAAAATGTGATGGTTTGAGTATAAAATTTGGTTTGATACATTATATAAACTATTCAGAGTTGTATATTTAAATTTAAGAAAATGGTTTTTTGTGAACTATTTCTACTACGGAATGTATTAAATTAAAATAATTTAAAACCTTAACATGAAGCAGTGATCTGTTAACCGGACAGGTCAATTGTCTGAGCTGTAGGAATCACTGGCACTACAGTTGCATAACCTTGCCACTGAGCTCAGAATACCATTAAGAAGCATTTTGTAAATAAGATAGTGACACCTCCAAGATTAGAGTTGGAACTATGCAGCTCACCCACGAAGGAGCTATGGGCCCTCTTCTAAAGGAAGACCCTCTTAGATGAAGATAGACCTTTCACATCCCCCTTGCTGAATTCCAAGTCTCTTTTGTGATCCAGAAATGCCAGGTGGGGCGTTTCAGATGCATTGGGTATGAACCGCACCTTGAACTTGCCCTTCCCTTTTTCGGTTAAACCTTTTCACGTAGCTGCTGCTGCTCCTGAGCAGTCCATCCCCTGGACGGAGGCGCCCTCTCAGGACCTGGAGCAGAGCTGCAGGGAGCTGCCGTCTCTTATGGTAGATGTGGCCCATGACGATGTACCTGCTGCCTGAACAAAATAACCAAAATAGAAATTAATAGTGTCTTGTAAATGCCATGAAACAATAAGAAATTGTAAGGCCTTTCTTTAAGAAGTACCTAAGTTCAAATCTATTGCTCCACCTATTGAAACTCAAGACATTTAAACTACCGGCAATGGGGCGTGGCGGGGCGGGGCGGCGCCCATAGCACAGTGGTTACACACTGGTCACCATACACCGAGGCTGGCAGGTTCGAACCCAGCCCGAGCCAGCTAAACAGTGACAACTGCAACAAAAAAGCCAGGTGTTGTGGCAGCGCCTGTAGTCCCAGCTACGTGGGAGTCTGAGGTAAGAGAATCACTTAAGCCCAAGAGTTTGAGGTTGCTGTGAGCTGTGACGCTACAGCACTCTACCAAGGGCGACATAATTAGACTCTGTCTCAAAAATAAATAAACTACAGGCAACAGGTGGAAACAGCATAGTGACTTTAGAAGATAACCACATTATCAACCTGTAAGGGTCAATATTACAGAACAAAGGTCCTAATCACAGTATCAGAAGCATTTTCCAGAGCAATCTACAAAAGCGTGGGGGTGGGTATTTACTCCCTGCCCCCTCTCCCAAAAGAGAAGCATTTCTAAACTCTGCGGGAAGCACTTCAGTCATCCCTTCTGGCAAGGGTATTTCTCATTCGCTCCATTTGTCAACACAGATTTATCGCGAGCCTGTTTTCGCTAATCGGTGCTGTTCCCAGCTTTGTGTGGTGGCGGGGGACTGATGGGGCCTAAATCCAGGGTGGCCGGAATGACACCTGCCGTCTAAATTCTATTCATGTTTCAATACTACCTCCCTCCCAAAAGAGAAGCCTGGGGTGATCAACAGAAACCGGGCTGTGGCATCCACGTTACAAATGGTGGCATAAAGTACATAGGAAGTAGTCATTTGGGTCAGTTTCTATACCAGGTTTAAGTTCTGGACATGGCTTATTGCAACTCGAGGAGTCTAGGGCTAACATGTGGACGCGGAAGAAAAACCCGTCCGGCGTGATGTACAGACGGTTCATCTTGTACAGCCCGTCCCGGTCCACCAGCAGAGTCACCAGCCGGATTCCTGCGCCGAGCACATCCACATCGTGCACGATTCCGTTCACTGCTGCTTTCAAAAAACAGAGTTTGGAGACAAGCATTACACTGACTTCCTCTCTCACTCCCGGTGCGTTCGTTTCTAGGATCGCACGCGCGGGTTTCTCTAGGGTGTGGCGCGCTCGGCTGGGAAAGGCCAGCCTGGGCGGGAGGGCGGGCCGGCTCACCGAATTCGCTCGCGCAGTACGACTCGCGCTCGTCCAGGTTGGTCCTGCAGGCGCGCGCGCACGGCTCGGCGCCGGCCTCCGCGTCCCTCTGCGG